TTTTGATACAGGGCTTCCTTATGACCTACTAAACGATATAAGGCTAGGAGCCCGTAGCCCCCCCCCCCATCCCCATGTTCATTATCATCATACATAATTATCATCAAACATATTCATTATCATCATACATATTCATTATCATCATACATGTTCATTATCATCATACATGTTCATTATCATCATACATATTCATTATCATCATACATGTTCATTATCATCATACATATTCATTATCATCATACATGTTCATTATCATCATATATATTCATTTTCATCATACATATTCATTATCATCATACATGTTCATTATCATCATACATGTTCATTATCATCATACATGTTCATTATCATCATACATATTCATTATCATCATACATGTTCATTATCATCATACATATTCATTATCATCATACATGTTCGTTATCATCATACATATTCATTATCATCATACATATTATTTATCATCATACATATTCATTATCATCATACATGTTCATTATCATCATGCATATTCATTTTCATGTGAACATGAAACCACCATTCACTCTATCTTTTTACCATCAAGCCCGCCAAACATAAAGATCTGTGGGCTTCGAAAGCCCCTAGAACAAACACACAAACAACCAATATAAAGGAGCTGTAATGCTTTTATTAAATAGATCCCTAAACTGACTTGGGACAGGGGAATCGATAGTCAACTTTTAAAACAAAACACGGGAGTATAATATCTACAACAGTAATAACATCGCACTCTTTTACTTCTGATGTAAGTTTAATAATTATCATAAAGGCATCGTTTAACAATGTTAAATCTGAGATGCACGGCCCTACATGTTATCAGTGTCTGTGATATGGTGTAATATTGAAGCCCTAAACAAAAATTGCACTTCAAAATGATCAAGAAGTGCCTCAAAAAAATTAAAATCTTTGAGTGACCGGTTTTACCATACTCGTTTTCCCCAATAGACTGTAGTGTAATTTGTAATTTCAATAATAAATATCTTGATAATTAGACAAGCGATCGGCTTGTAAAAGTCATGGAGTTCCTGACTGACCTAAAGGTTTATAATTATCATTGCAGCATAAGCTAAATCCAGGATTTGGTTTCAGAATATGAGACAAAGTTAATACCGGATCCCTTTAATTGGCTCGTACAATAAAAAAACAAACACAATTACACTGATTGGGACTATCATTATAACACGATATTTTCGAAAGATTAACTCAAGGGCAATGTCACTTCCCTTTTGTTTATCCAAAAGAAATCTTGTCCGGATTACGTAATACATGTTATGTTCACAATTGTCAATAAGGGATGCGTTGCTATCGTGTTTTACGACCATTCATAGATATGCATCAATCCCTCATATTTTACGCGGAGGGCATGCAGAAATGATTGTGACTAGAGGATTTTTTCTCGATAGATAAATATTGCATCTTTTTAGAACTGTATTGATAAATCATAATTGATCAGTCTTTGATTGATCAATTACGTTCTAAGGCGATACAAACTTTATCTATCAAGAATAAATCATTTCGCCACAATCGTTTCATGAAAAACAGGTTACTAACATATTACAACTTTATGGGAAAAAGTGTAAAACTACTACTACTACTACTACTACTACTACTACGACTACGACTACTACTACTGCTACTAGTACGACTACTACTATTGCGACTACTACTCCTACTACTACTATTACTACTATGACTACTACTAATGCATTACTACGACGACTACTACTACGACGACGACTACTACTACTACTACTTCTACTACCAGAAGTTGAATGAACCCCAATCAAATCGATGAATTTTTCCTTTAAATTGTACAACAATAAAACGAGAAAAAAAAAAGGCGGGAAATAATTGCAGCCAAGTTAGCTATGTCAATCAATAAATCTATACGCCTACATATCTGCAATATTACGAATTGCAGTCGTTCAAAATTATTAGTATTAAGAACTAAACCAGAGAAATCAGATGATTTTTTCTTTCTTTGAAAGGCTGGAGGAGAAACAAGGATTTAATTTTGCTTGAATTAATTACAGTCAAACCTGTTCTTAGTGGCCATGACTCAACACAGGCTACCTGTCTACAGTGATCACTATTTGCGTTTCTCTTGGGTGGCCTTACCAGACAGGTTAGACTGTACTTGGCTAAAGAGTACCGACATGTTAATGTCATGTTTGATTGTCGTCCAGGTTACTCGTTCTACACAACAGAGCATGCGCATGAGGTTCATCGCGAAACCATTCAAACAACGTGATGCAGAGGGAAAGTTAGTCCAGAATCTGCACGGTCCTTTATAATTTCCCTACACACTTGATTCAAGCCGTCGAAGATGGCGTTATCAACAAACTCATAATTATGCTCACTAGCCCAGCCTGAGGACATCCTAATTTAATGATCACGCCATCATCGGCTGGAAGCAAATAAGTAAGGAAAGGTAGTGTTGGTGTGGTGGAGATCAAAATTAAATAGGCCAGATTCTGGACTAAGGGAAAGTCAGTGTTTGGGGTGGGTGTATTCACCACAACATTGTATAGCACAAAATTGTTTGGTACAGGCAATCTTGACAATTTGGCCAGTATGACATCACACACCGCGGCACTTTATATTCATCTGATACAGAACCACTGAATAAGCCAGTTCACGGTAGCAGTCTGAGCATGAGCAGATAAAGGTCATTGCAGAACAAATTTTGAAATACACGGAGACGAAATACTGGATACGTGCTCATGAAAATTATGTAACATTATTCATTCATGCACATTCAGTGCACTCCATGGTACACAGGTGGAAGTATTCTTTGAAAAGGGGGAACAAAGGCTATTTATAAAGCACCTCCATCGCTATAGGAGTGATTATGTCAAAATGTACAAAGTGGGACCTCTTCATGTTTTGAAGATCTGTGGATATTCGGGGTCATTGCAGTAAGGTGCTAACCGTGAACTGGTCTATTCAACCAATCGACCGATAGGATATCTTTCGGCTCACTTCAAATCATTGGGTGATCGTGTCTGGTCTGGTGGCCGCGTTACACGGCCTTTGTAAAACAAAAACGTACGTTAAGGACGCGACCATTGGAATGTTTGCCGTAGGGTTTTCACAAAGTGTTGGGTAAATTGGACCAGAACATTCGAAGATGAGAGGGGTTTATTTCACAAACATTACCCCCCGACAAAGAAAGGGCGGGTACCATCTCCACCCGACCCGACGCGATGAACCGATGATTCGAAATAAGCCATGTACTTGGATGTTTTATTGTATCTCTCACCAAATAAAAACTAGAATGATAAAGATACGATTGAGTACTAGCTGAACAAGCGATTACATTTTGAAAGAAACTACGCGGGAACAAGAGGGAAAGGTCTGTTATGAACTACCGGAGAATGCATGTATGTAGCGGCCTATACAGTGAAGTTTTCGTATCATCAACATTAAAAGAAGTTGAATTAAGGCTTGTTCAAATATAGCGCGGAATAGTGATGACGCAAAGTGTATTACGCTTCACACTTCTCTATTTTAATGCACACGCAGGAACTTTGTTGCAAGCATTTAGGCTTACACGCAAACCTCGTTGACATTTTTGGCGGCGCCTCACCGCGGCGTATTTGAACGAGCCTTAAAGTAGATATTCATTGATTTTAAAAACTAACTTTATGTTCATTATTGCAAAGTTTAAACTTTGATTCGACAAGGTTATCAAAATTTAATGCTTGGAAACATTCGAAGTAATGATTATTATAAATTACAAAACGCTTAAATACAGCCCGGGCATAGCACCTGAAGAGCTCTCCGAACGCTGCTGAGATGTGTGAGATCATAGTATGGACATGACTTGCACAAGCAGACGATGCCCCATGACATCTCACACATTTTCAGTGCCTGTGTTTTCATCTTTTCTTGAGTTCTTTCTCTTACTTCACTACCGTCAGGCTAAATGTAGAATCTATTGCCTCACTCTAAACCCCGCGCATGGTTTTATTTTGATGACAAATGCAGCGATACAAAAATAAAGGAATTTGTCGCTTGTAAACAAAATAAGACGCCATTGTATATTCAGCTGCACACACCGGGGTATGTTCGGCGTTTCAAGAGGGAACAAATGCCGTCCTTGATATGATTCCGGGGTTTTTCAATTTGAAAGTCTCGTTTCTTTGATTGTTAATTAACCCCTATCCTGTGTATTTACAAGCAAAAGATGTTAGTTATCAGAATCGGGTCATATCCCGTTTTAAATGGTTTGACATGCCATTACATTTATATAAACTAAACTCATTATAATTTGACAAATAATAGCTTTGCAATTACGTTCATTCTCTATGAGATGTCGTCTGCTTGGGCAGTGTTGGTCCATATAGTGACGTCATTAAAACATCGTTATTTTCCCGGCGAATCTCTCGTATATCCCAGCTGCTATGGAGGTGGTTGTATTTTTATTTTTTATTAATCACCCGATATGTAGTTGACCTATAACTTGTACGATGGCCATCTGTTAGCTTACCAGTTTCTAGTGATACATTAGTTGACAAATTTGTGATTTTCTTTGAATTTCACCTTTAAAGGTAATACAAAGTTTGGGGGAATTTTGAAAATTGGGTGGATAGTGATTCTTTAGAATTTTGATATATGGATGCCCATGTGGATGTATTATAAGCACAATAAAATTTAGCCCCTAAAACATTTCTGTTTTCGAGAAAAATTTAATATAAAAATTTACCGGTGCTCCCGTTAAATTTTGATAAATTTCAAATAGCGCCTACGGCCGTACAATGGTAACTGCGACCATGAAAATCTTAGAATATGTAGTTGTGATATATAATTTCCAAACCGGAATAGCTAATCGGTCGATTTTAGTCAAGAAACATTGTTTTATAGCTTAATTAATATATTGACCTTGAGAGGGAGTTATACAACATAAAAAGTTAATTATTTACAATTTCAGAACTTTAGACTCGATTTCAACCGCGACAACGATTACTGAATATTGTAGGATAGTATATGCTTCCAATATGTTCATTTGAACCAAATTCATGACCCCCATACCAAAACTTTGTAATACCTTTAATCGTGCTGATGCTGACGCACAGAAATTGGTCAATCCTATATATACATGGGAATAGGCACACGTATATTCCGCATGAAATTTAAGGGCAAACTTTTCGAGCTATGTCTTGTCATACAGTTTTTAGAGTACTTTTAGTATAATGGCATATTATGAAGACTACTCCTTTTCAGGGAACATTTTTCTACGATGACATTCATACAAACTGAGGTAAAAGAATGAAAGTCCTTAAAACAAATCAACCTCCCTTCAAATAACTTTGCTCCTCTTCACACCACAGAGTGCACCAAGCCGTTGTCTTGCCATGATCATTTTCGTAGTCTCGTAGTTCTCACTCACCAGTCGTTTACAGAATACCGAGTTGTTCGAGGTCACGTGACCGACCCGAAGCATCTTCTGTCCTTTACGCGCAGCCTCGTTATCTTCTATACCGCATTCGGCAGAATAGACCCTCATCAAATCTCTGAACGTCCGCAAATCTCTATCGAAACTGGCTCCTTGATCGGCAATCTTTTGCCAGAGCGTCCGATTAAAGTGATTGTAAAGCAAGATATCAGCGCTATTCCATTCTCGTATCTTCTCTCGTTGTTCCTCTGTTATATTGGAATGTGTTACACGCGCATTCTTCTTCACGTATATTATGTCTCTGAAACTCCAATTCATTAGATTTTTTAGAAGAATGAGAGACTCGTCGAAGTATTCTGTTATAACAACTAAGTGTAGGTGCAAATCCAGCTGCTTAATGATGTCGTTAACGGTGTCTTCGTAGTCATGAATGGCGCCATCTTCGGTGAATTCAAACAGCTGCCCGTTTCTTGAATAGTACTTTGCATGACCACCTTTGGCGGTATTCCAGTAGAATTTAGGGTTGCTCAAAAAGGTTGCGATGTTCGCAACGCTTGTATTCCCGCGCCCGACTTTATTGATATGCATTGAACGCGCGGCACCGAAAAACGAGAACGCACTTTCCCACTGCGCGCTCGGTTCGCGAAGGATCGATACAAATTTGCAATCGGATTTCATGAATCGTTTCAGCTGAACGAGATTGGGAAGAAGTCTTAAGTGTGCGGTCATCATGCTGTAGTTCTTGTAATGCTTGTAGTCGCCCGTAGCAACGCAAAGTGGAGGAAGGAAGCTACGAGGTTTCTTTTGAGCCAGCTTTGATAACCGGAAGTGACCATGCACCTTATCACCTTTGTTGAATAGAAAAGATAAACGATTCCTGTAACCGAATCGGTTGAGTATCGATGCCATAGTCGTCCCACCGGTCTTGTGAGTTTTAATGAAGACCAGGCTTGTTGCCGGTTTTGGGAGTTGTTTCCGTGATACTGATTGCGCTGATTCCACATCAAGTCCTGCCTGAATGGTCTGTACTACGGTGAAGCCATTTTGTTGGGTGAAGTAGACACACATCAAAACGGCAACGATCCCAAGGATCAAGGGTAGCATCTCTTTCTATAAAATGCACAAACCAAAAAACAACGGAGATAATAAAAAAGAGAAAGTGGGGCCATGGCAGTTTACGAGATGAAATACATTGACAATACACCCCTTCACGGCTAAGACCGCCACTTAAATTTGCAAATAAACATTGCGTCATCAATGTTTTCAGACGCGCATGTATTGTTGCGTCACTGCCTGCGCTGCGCGCTCACATCATATCGACACATGCCCTATGAATGATGCATGAAATAAAAATTAGTCACAATATTTACTCGCAGAAAAGAAAGGCGCACTCTTGTAACCGTAAACTCCATAAATCAGTGTTATAGTGTTAAACATTGATGGTACTGTGTTACTTTTTGGGCCACACTGAATTAGCGTAAAACAAAATGAAAACACAAAATATGAGTGGCTTGTGATAACAATTCTTCAAAAATCAACATGTTATATATATATATATATATATATATATATATATATATGTATACATATATATATATATATATATATATACGTATATGTATACATATATACATATAATATATGTATGTTTGTGTGCTCGGTGTGCGTGCGTGTGACTACATTGATAGACACTAATCACAACAGCAATTGGAGCACCAATTATCAACGTATTCATATACAATGTATATAAACATGTACCTGTATATATATACACGTATATGTTATTTATGTCATTTCCCCTTTGTTTTCGTCTATTCATTTATTTCCCTTCTTTTTCTTCTTCTTCCTATTCTTCTTCTTCTTCTTCTCTTTTGGAGAGGGGGGGGGGGAGGGGGTCTATCGATGCGCTTGACTATTTGATATAGGTGAGTTGCAAGTATGCAAAGTTAGCGCGATGGCAATTGCGACCAAATAGATAAGGTTGGATATCCGGTAAATTCGAGAGTATGGATACGCCTATACAGGGTGACCCAAAAAGAAATCATTGCGTCAGAACTGCAATTCAACGACCACATTGACACATTGTCATAGAGTTTTTTTTCTTTCTTATATTAGGTGGAAATAGAAATGACACCAAGATCATCAAACTCGTTTTGATTGTGAGGCTATTTTTGCGATGTAATGTCGTTTTTAAACTTTGCGACTTTTGGAAGCGTAGTCATGCTTGAAACAGCGGAAAATTGCGCATGATGGTTTCCCATATACTGTCAGCCGTGTTGACGAGCACAGGAGTGACAGGACCGGTCTGTTAACACTGCTGATTGTATGGAAAGCCGTCAATGGCATTATGTCGATGATGTCGTTGCAAATGCGGATCTCAGGTGTTGCGTTCTTTTTTGGGGGCCACCCTGTACATATGACAACCATCCATGGACTTACCTCCAAACCCAAACCAATATTGTTCTATTGAAATACAATGCAAATAATGATTGCGTCTTATTTATTGATCACGGCACTTTAACAGTAGTATCCTAATTATCCTGTACAAGTAATGCTCTCATAATTATGTTACCAAAAAAAGAAGAAGAAAGAAAAAGAAAAAAAAAAAACATTTCGGATATTTTGGTAACCCTTGCAAGTTTAAAGAAAGGGCAGTAAATCGCTTGCTTACATTTTGTTCAGATTACTTCGCGTATACTTGTCATATTATACACTCATTTCAACTTGAAATTACCTAACATTTCATGCTCATTCAAGCATGACCTAACGGGTACCTATGATCTTTCACACAATTGTTACATAAGAACCACAGGCACACTTCCTTCTAGGTATCGTGTTGTTAAAAACGATGCGCTTCTAGAAGTTATGTTTAGTTGCCCGGGGGGGGGGGGGCTTATTTTGTTTTGGTGTAATTAAAACGTTTAAAGGTATTACAAAGTTTTGGTATGGGGTCATGAATTTGATTCAAATTAACATATTGGAAGCATATGCGTTCCTACAATATTCATTGATCGTTGTCGCGGTTGAAATCGAGTCTAAAGTTATGAAATTATAAATAATAAACTCTTTATGTTGTATAGCTCCCTCTCAAGGTCAAGATATTAATTTAGCTATGAAACAATGTTTCTTGACTAAAATCGACCGATTAGCTATTCCCGTTTGGAAATTATATATCGCAACTACATGTTCTGAGATTTTCATGGTCGCAGCTACCATTGTACGGCCATATGCGCTATTTGAAATTTATCAAAATTTACCGGGAGCACCGGTAAATTTTTATATTCCATTTTTCTCGAAAACAGAAGTGTTTTAGGGGCTAATTTTTTTAGTGCTTATAATACACCCACAAGGACATCCAAATGTATAAAAATTGTAAAGATTCACTATGCACCCAATTTTCAAAATTTCCCAAAACTTTGTATTACCTTTAACCTTGAAAGCATCTTATATTTTGAAAATGTACTGCAAGCGGGACTACAAGATACACATTGGAATGACGTTTTGGTTCGCGATGACCCCTTAAAGCACCACTTCACTACTTATAGCTACTTGCGCCCTCTATACAACAAGCAATGCATAATCGGTGACCATTGGTCCCCACTGATCCTCTTATTCTTATGTTAATTGAGAGCTGATTTGATGAGATAATCGCCTGTCCGGTGACCTTGCAGGGTGGTATTATCCCTCCTGTTCTCTAGTACAGATGGGCTTTAATAAACGAAGCTTATTAAACACAACTTATAAATCGCAGCTAAATTCGAAAAATCAAATCACGGGCTGTTTGATTAAGCTATTGCATGACTTTTATATCTTCAATAGAAATCATGTTCTGATTACGTAATACGTCATTGTTTATTCACTCATTTGAAAAGGTGACGCGCAACGCTTTTGAAGCTTATCTGTCGTAGTTTACAGGGGATTAGACCGTCCTGCAAGGTCACTGGACAGGTGGTTATCTCATCAACTCAGCTCTCAGTTAACATAAGAGAAAGAGGATCATGGGGGACCAATGGTCACCGATTAGGCATTGTTTGTTATATAGAGGGCGCAACTAGCTACAAGTAGTGCAGTGGGCCTTTAAAATTGCATTAGGTTGATTTTTGGAAAGTAATAATTGCTACCGTGTTATAACCATTTAACACAAAACTGCATGAGTCGAATGATACAAATTTCCCTTTTGTGATACAAAAAAGAAATAGACGGAAAAGCCTGCCTGGATAACTGATACGGGTTCATTAATTCAATTAGATAAGGGAACAGGTTGTACAAACCCTGTAACTCAAACTTGCAGGACACTGTTGCCCAAGCAGTTCGAATGTTTATTTATTTTGGTAACTTCTTTTTGTTTTAACTGACTGCTAAGGAAGCATGTGAAAGCTTATTATCAAGCAACCAGGGGACCGACGGCTTATGTCCTCTCCGAAGGACCTGGTGATGAAGTATAATGCCTTAATGCCAAAGGGCACTAGCGCATCGACTTGGTTTCGAACCCTGTTTCGAAACCACAGCTCTACCACTGAGCTATCGCTCCTTCTACTCATGAAATGATATTGATACTATGACCTTTTTTTTTCTCGATAG